GCAGCCAAATATAACAGAAATAATTCTAGTTGATTCTAATTCAGCCCCTGATTCCTACATATTCCAATGTTTTTTTCTCATTGTTGTCACCAAAAAAATAAATTTTATCATATATTTAATGCGATTTTCATTTTATACAATTAATTTTTCCGTTGAACAATACTTAAGTTTGTTGATATTATCCTGCAAGAAAGTAATAATTACGAGGCTTTACCTACACTGTAAAAAAAAAATAGGTGTTTTACCGAACCTGTGCTCAGGATCAGAACCTTTTTGATTCCGTACGAAATTGCCGAACTTAAAAAAGCTCGGAAATTTTCGTACGGAACCAAAAAGGTTCTTATCCTGGCCACAGGTTCAGCAAAACACCTGTTTTTTTACAGTGTAGTGACAACGAATATAATATTTAGAAGCGATCGTAGAAACGCTTCCAAAGCAATATTGATTAGCTAGATAAGATTTGAGATTTGATTAAACGAAGTAAGCGAGTGATAATGATATAATAGTTTGGTACTCAAATTTACAAGCAGTCGCCAGAATCTAATAGAATCCATCAGGATCCAAAAAGAGTCGCCAGGATCCACAGAATCCACCAGGAGATGTCAAGATCCACCAAGAGCCAAGGATCCAGGAGCCGCTTTTCTCCCCTTACGATTTCCACTTCCATTGCCACCTGCAACCACTGTTCCTTGAGATTCTCCTCTTCGATATCGTCTCACCTCATCTTCTACCCGATCAATGACATAGAGAGATCCATTCTCATCCATTGTCAAACCCCAACAAACGATGTTGGAGATGATTGTTTCTCCACTTGTCCCATTTCGACGAGACCATCGAACCACTCTTTCACTCGAACGATCGCAGATGATGAGACTATCTCTCTCTTTGTCGATAATCATATCTTCTGGGTAATTCAATTGATGATCTCCTCTTCCTTGCCCATTTTCACCGGCAACCACTTGGCCACTCGTTGCACCTCGTTTCCATTCCACAATACGATGATTCGATTGGTCAGCCACATAGATTGTCTGATCATCATCAACATACAAACCACATGAATCTAAGAGTTGATTGAT